TTAAAGAGCTGGTATGTATAACATTCTAAGGTAAGTTGGTATCAAGTTAACTTCATTAACATACAAGATATTTTATATCTATACCATTCATCTCCCTAAGATTTTGTTGTTATTAAATATGTGTTAATATTTCATATGACTGATACCATAAATTATTCTTGCCTTTTATGTATTTGCTATTTAAAAAACATGAAGGACAAAACATTTAGGATTATCAAGCATGAATATCTTATACCTTATCATTTGCCCTTAAACTTGTCCATGCATTTCCTCTTATTATGGATTGTTCTCTTTATGTATAGCTTTCAATTACTTTCTAGTGTCTTTTCCTTTCCATCTACAAAATTCCCATTAACATTTGTGCAGGGCCAGTCTGGTGGATATGAACTCTATCTGCTTCTGTTCATCTGGGAATGTTTTCATTTCACCCTCATTCTTGAAGGATAGTTCTGCTGGGTATAGTATTTTTGATTGACAGCTTTTTGTTGTTGTTATTTTCTTTCTGCAATTTAAATATATCATTCAATTGTCTTCTAGATTCCAGTGTTCCTGAAGAAAAATCAGTATTTGGTCTATTGGGGATCCTTTGGAAGATCTGTTTTCTTCTTTCTCACTACTTTCAGGAGTCTCTCTTTATCTTTAATTTTAGAGAGCCTAACTATAGATATAGATCTCTTTAGGTTTATCCTCCTTGGAATTTTGTGAGCTCCTTGGATTTGTAGATTCATGTCCTTTGATAGACTAGGATAATGTTCTGTCATTATTTCTTCCAATATTCTTTCTGTCCCTTTCTCTCACTCATCTCCTTCTGGAATTCCCAAGATGCACATATTAGGTCTCTTGTTGTCCCTTAATTCCATTAAACTGTACTCAGCCTTCTTGAGTATCCCATCTGTTTACTTTTCAGCCTCCATTATTTTAACTATTTTATCTTCTAATTCACTGATTCTTTCTTCTGCCTGATTAAAACTCTGTTTCTCATTTCAGTTGCAAGACATTGACAACTTCAATCTTTTCTCCATTTATCATGAGATTGCTTATTGGTCCAATTGTGAGGAATTTTGTTTTCATCATGTTGAGATATAATCCATACTGAAGACAGTGGTCTTTGATTTCATCAGTAAATGACTCAAGTCTTCTTCACTTTCAGCAAGCAAAGTTGTGCCATCTGCATATCATAGGTTCTTCCTCCAGTCTGGATGCCATGTTCTTCTTCATATAGTCCAGCTTCTCAGATTATTTGCTCAGAATACAGATTGAATAAGTATGTTGAAAAGATACAGCCCTGACACACAACTTTTCTGATTTTAAACCATACTATAGGCCCTTGTTGTGTCTGAATGACTGCCTCTTAGTCTATGTATTGGTTCCTTATGAGCACATTTTGTTGTTGTTGTTGTTGCTGTTATGTGCCGTCGAGTCAGACCTGACTCATAGCAACTCTACCTTGGGTTTGCAAGGCAGTATCACTACAGAAGTAGATTGCCCCATCTTCTTTCCGAGGCATGGCTGGTGGGTTTGAACCGCCAGCCTTCTGGTTAGCAGTCAAGTGCCTTTAGGCACTACGCTACCAGAACTCCTGAACACATTTTAGTGTTCTGGAATTCCCTTTCTTGGCAATGTTATTCATAATTTGTTATAATCCATGCAGTCAAATGTCTTTGCACAGCCAATAAAACACAGGTAAACATCTTTCAGGTACTCTTTGCTTTCAACCAACATCTGTCTGACATTAGCAATGACTCTCATTCAACATCCTTTTCTGAATCCAGCTTGAATTTCTGGGAGTAACCTGTTGATGTATTGCTGCAACCATTTTTGAATTATTTTCATAAAAATTTTACTTGTGTGTGATAACCTAATAAATTTATTCCTAGGTTATTTTTTTTTCTTCTTCTTCTTCTTCTTTTTTTTTTAAATTGCGATTTGGGTGAAGATTTACAGAGCACATTCACTTTCCATACAGCAGTTCACATATACTTTCTCTCATGTCATTGACCACAATTTACCACAATGCAACAGCTCCCCTCCCACTTGCTCCCCATAGTTACCTCTTCCCAGTGTCCATCCCTCCATACACTCCTGTCCCCTGAGCTGTCTC